GGGGCTCCCCATGGCTCACGTGCGGCTCCCGTGACTCGCACACCAGCAAGGGAAGCCCTGCGCACTTGAGCCAGCAGACTTTGCTGCTCCCTGCCGCCATATAAAGCTCCTGGGACTCTGCCAGAAGTAGCAGAGAGCCCCACACGATGGAGCCAGGCTGGCTCGTCTCTGCTCCCTGCTTCCCAGTGGAGTCCTGGGAGCTGCATGTGGTGGCAGGGAGTCAGTCCAGGCTGTTGGCTTCATCACATGGGGCTCCCCTGCCATGGCACATGGCTCTGGCTGGGTCCTGGGAGCTGCATGAGAGACACAGGGAGCCCCACACAATGGAGGTGCGGTGGCCTGGCCCCGCTCTTTGCCATCATGTGCAGCTCCCAGAAATGGCTGGAGCTGTGTGCTGCCAGGGGGCTCCACCTGTGCAGGCCATGAGCCCCTCAAGGTCCTGCCACTTGCTGCTGTTGCCCCTGGTGGCAGGGGTTGTGTACCAGGGCGGCATGTGGGGGGGGCTTATCCCCCTATACCCACACCTTCCCTCACACCCCTCTCCCTCACCCTCACATACACACCTGCACCCCGCATGCCTTCCCCACACACACCCTCGCCCCTCTATACATTCCCCCCACACACACACACACCCCACCACACACCCACCCACTCCCCCACACATGCCCCACATACACACCACACACACTGTACAAGAGTAATACTTTATTTTGAGCTATTATTCAATCACCTCTATATACACTGTGCAAACACACACAAATCAGGACAAAATATTTTTAAAATAAAATTAAAATATGTTATAGTAGATGTTTGATTTTTAGCATATGATTTTTTTTTTCTGGTTCCAAGATGAACACCTGCTCCCGCAAAGGAGTACTTCTGGGGGCAAGAGGAGGGACTTATGGTGGCAAAGGTCAGGGGCAGGATTTCCAGTTTCAAGATGGTGACCGGGGCATGGGGCACATGGCTACCTTTACAGCCCTTGACAGCTCACCAAAACTCATTAAGTGGCCCTCCAGCTAAAATAATTGCCCACCCTCATATGCAGCTACTGGTATGCAGGCTGAGGTATATATCTCACTCCTTGGCAGGGCATTGTGCTCTTTAAACACTCCCCACAAGATATTATTTGCCATATACACAAGACATGCTTAAGCTTCTACTTGAAACCTTAACATAAGTATTTCCTGGTCTTTGAATGCTTAATTATGCAAACTTAGCACTGTTTTAACTTCCTTTGGAATAATAACTACTATAACTGATGGGATTCTCCCGCTGTCTTCATATAAGCAGGCCCTGGAACATTATGTTCGTTCAAGTATTTATATCTAAAGAGAAACGAAGTGGAGAATCACTACACAAAGGGACTGGAGGCTCAAGAACGGAACACAATGCTGCCATGGGAATCAGCATAAAAATACCTATGAAGATGAATTTACAAAGAGTTTTGCTCACTGCCTTTAGCTTAGTTCAGAGAGCAGTGAGATGTTTGCATGTTACCTTGAAAGCAAGTACAGTTTTATAAACACTCACCTTTTTTTGCTCTCGCCATTAATTTTAAGCTTCTTTTCACTAAGCCTAGTCTTTAGAGCCTTTCAGACACCACAGATAATTGATAACTTTAGCAGCAGCATCCTTAGTTGTTACAGCAGGAATAGAATATGATCAACCTTATGCATTATAAGATCATGAGTCAGGGCCAAACATACCCATAAGATTTGCTTACAAATTCATGCAGTTTAAAAACACCTAATATATTTTGAGTTGCTTTTATTTTTGACTGGTTTCTGAACTTTTGCCATATAATCTGGTAACATTTTCAAGTTTTTCTCCATGGGGATTGAGATTCTCACCTATTCACATGCCTCCAGGAGATAGAACTTTAAGAACATTTGATTAACTTGTAAAAGTTGGCAACAGTGATCCTGGACTCCTTAGTTCTTGTTCTAACTCGGTTTCTAGCCATTTGTGCAACCCTGCACTACTGATTTAGTGTCACTCCACTTCTGTTCGCAAAGTTAAAATAGACTTAAATGAGATAGGGAGCTGTTACTGTACCAGACAAGGAAGAAAGAGGGCAATGGGAGAGCACAGCTTACTCAAGAGAGGGAGAGAAGGTGCCCCTTGTTTTAGCAAGTGAGTCGTGGCTGCAGTGCCCTCTATACAGGAGTAACTTTACATGTGTTAATAATATCTCTGAATTTAAAGATATGAAGAAGAACGGTCTATATTTGAAATATAGTCCCTTCTACAGTGCTGGCATTAGCAAATGCCAGCTGCAGGATCTGGCAACATGCTGGATAAAATAATGCTTTTGCATTACATTAAATTTACTATGAGTAATTTTGTTAGCCTACTCACAGGGGCAGGGCAGTTAAGGCATCTCACTGTGGCTCTGACGGGTACAGTTTAACTTAAGGCAGCAAAAGGGTACAGTCAAAGCAGCCTGCTGTAATGTTAGCCATATCACTCCCTTGTGCCCTTAGCTGCAGAACCTGCTTGCCATATTAGCCCAATGGACCATAGGCTTGACAACTGTCTTCAAATGAAAACTTCCCATAATATTAGCTATGCTCAGATGTGCCTGGGTTCTTCCAAGTCTGTTTGTATACAGTTGCTATAGTCTGAAATGTAGAAAATGGCATTGTAGGCTCCCAACTTTACTTCTCATTTTACTTCCATATCATATTTGTGCACCTGACATGTCTGAAGATTTTTCTAAGTGACAACTCTACATACTGGACTTGGGAACTGCAAATCAATGTTTTTTTCTGGCCTATGTATCATTTTCAGTAGTAATAGTAAATATTCTGCAGTCAGAAGCAATGCAGCATCAAGAATACTGTCCAAACTCATTCCCTCTTAGCAGTGGTGTCTTTGTGTGTCTAACAAGACTGAAAAATAGTAAATGATTATTCCTGTCATCAGAGCAGGCCCATTCTTTGGACAAACTGGTAAGTTGCCCAGGGCAGCATTTCTAGAGCCAACTAATTAGTAGCAGCTTCTCATTGGTCAATGCAATTAGCTCTGTGAATATAGTAGAGAAAGGGCAGCAAAATAGCTAGGGCTGGCCCAACATATCTCTTAAGTCAGCAGACCTTATTTCAAATGCTCACTGAAGAGATGATCTTTTAAATGATACGTTCCTATTTTCAAACTTGTCACTTTTCTTATCTTAACTTGCATTTTAAAGAATGGGGTCCAACATTATAAGCCAAATATATGACCAGACTGTTTCTATAAATCAGTGAGGTATGCTAAGTATTCCTAATACAACATAACTTACTATTATTATTAATTTTTATATTATGTACCAGAGTCCCCAGTTGTGGATACTGTACAAACCTGGGAACATGGGAATTGCCAAATTGGACCAGACCCAACATCCAGCATCCTGCCAACAAGTGGCCTGCACCAGTTGCTTCCAAGGATATTGTTAAAAAAAAAAAAAAAAAGGGTAACTGTGGGATACTTGTGTCCCAGGAGGTCTCATCCCAATCCTTAAAAGGTAGCAATTATTTTGAGAACAGAAACATGAGATTTATATAATTTTCACACTCTTAATTTAACCTCATAACTGGATGTTTTATCATCTGTACAATTATCTAGTCCTTCTTTGCATCTTGCCATAGTTCTTGGTCTTGGAAACAGCTTGTGGCAATGAGTTCCACAGCCTAACTGTTCACTGTATGAAAAGGTTCTTTCTTCAGTTTTGAATTTGCCATCTTTCATTTGCATTAAACATCTCCACACATGCAGGGTCAGATGGTATTTAAACAACCTCTGTTACATAAAAACAGTCAGACCAAGATTTCTTCTAGCCCAGTATTGTTTCCATGGCCGCAGCAGTAGATGCTTTTGAAGGAGAGCATATGAACAAGGTATGTCTGAAGGGTTCTTCTGTCATCCACTGTCACTGGTGTAAGCATGTGAGAGGATACATCCCTGACTGTTCTGTTTAATAGTTATTCATGGATTAAAATTCACATCAGTGGAACTATACTAATTTACATCAGGCAAAGAACTGAAACATAGCAAGAACAGATCCTAGAACTTACATTCCAGTGCCTCACTCTTGCAGTAATGTCTGTATTAGGAATGTAATAGCTGGTGTATGTATGTAGTTATATGGGTTCAATTCATACATTTCAGACCATGTGTAAAAACACTAGAATCAGAAATCTTTAGTCTTTTGGTCACATTTAAAAAAAAACAACAACACATGACTGTGTTGAAGACAAACAGCTGACTTACAAAAGATTAAGCAAAGCAGAGCTAAAGCATGATTGCAGATGAGAGCATAGATAGGAGACAATGTATGATAAATGCAGATGGACAGACTGGCTAGTGTCATGCTTTAAAAGTTGTTATGATAAGGAACTTGCATATATAAAGAAAAATAAAGTGTAAAAAACGCTAGGCCCCAAATTCTACCTAGATTCTGAGGGAACTCCTAGAGGAAATTCAAGGTCAAATTTTAAACAGTTAGTCAACTAGGTTTTGGATTTATGTGTTTATTGGTTTGTGATTTACAAGTTGGGCTCCTGGTCTAACCTTCTACAGTTTCTGCTACATTAAGGGTTATGATCATTTGCAACATACCAAGACCAAAATTTTACGACAGTACCTGTGAGAAGCAAAACACTTCTACAATATTTGGGGACTTTGGTGTATTAATGTAGATGATCGTTTTTGCAGAAACATGTTGGCCATTTTTCTTAACGTTCCCGTCTCCTCCAAGGAAATTATTTTTAACACCTTGCGTTTCATGGCACCTTCTATCTGATCACTCTAAAGCAATAGAAATATTAAGAGCATCCCAATAAAATGGTTCTCTCAGTTTGACAGATAGGTAAAACTTAAATTTGAACAACTGAAATGACTCATCCAAGATCACATAGCAAGTTGCAAGGCTGGAAATGAAAGTCAGGAGTCCTGCCTTCCAGTATTGTTCTAGGAAAAGAAGCAGTTTTTAAACTTTGAATGAATCTCAGAATGAATTAAGTCACACATGAACAAATGGATATTAATTATTTTTTATTAAAGTATCAAAACAAACTCAAGAATAGAAAACAAATTGTTTTAATGCATTTTTATAGGTTCTCCTGAATAAACTAGACATTTACTTAACCCATATAATGCATTGCTCCTGTCTAGACTTTAAACATTGCTTTCCTGGGAATATTCAAAGTACCATAACTTCCCAATTATGCCATACACATGCACACGTGCGCGTGTGCGCGCGCGCACACACACACACACACACACACACACACACACACACACAGGGAAGCAGCTATGATTGAACAGATAGAAATAAAGACAGATTAACTCCTAACAAAAGTAGTGGTACCATATTAATATTTGGCATGCTAGTAAATAACATTTACGTTTAACTCAAGCAGCAAAAGCATGACGCCTGCGTCACCAGTAATATGGTTAAGAGCAACCATACAAAATCCCTAAAGGAGAGACACAAGTTTTGTAATAGTGATTAACAATAAGTGGTACCAGTTTTTGTGCTAACACCTTATAACAGTAGAGGTGACAAACTTTTTACCTTGGTTGAAATTTGATACACAAGAGACAAAGACAAGGAGTATGGTATCTGGATGGTGCCTAAATCTAATAAATCCATATTACAGAATTCAAATACCAATGAAAAATTATTTTACAAGGTAATTGTAACACATTTCAGGAATTTCCTGTGTCAGACAGACAATGGGCCAAACTAATCCCTTAAAGAACTCCATTTAAGACAGTGGAGTTGCAGCAGGAACAGGAGGTAAGCAACCTTCATTGAAGTCAGTGGAAGTGCCTCACAACTGTACCCAGGATTAATCTGGCCCAGTGCATTGTATTTGTATACATTCACTTTTCAGGTACATGAAGTACACAGCTGATACATGATAGAGGACATTACAATATATCCAGATCTTAAGAAAGTGTATTAAGAAGTTCTGTTGCAGAATATAAAAGTAACATAAGATCAGGTATGATATCTGATATACTCATCTGGGACTCGCAAAGTAAGAAGCTGATGGTTGAGGTATCTATTGGTTTAGCCTGTATATTATTTTAGATTAAAAATGCAATTTCAACACTGCACAACTGGTGTAAAATATTATGTACTGTAAGCTCTATTCTTCTGGTCTGCTCTGTTTAAAGTGGGACATTATGCTGTTAGACACCACTGATGGAGGTCTGGAACTTTGGAAAGTGTAATTGCTATTATCTGATGCTGCAAAATAGTCAGTGCCTCATGTGAGGCAAGGATTAGGCATTTATATATTTTTTAGAAGTGGTGTCCCAAACAGAACCATTGAATTTAGGAATATATAATATTAGACACCAACAAGTGAAAATAAACAAAAAACGGCACAGCACTTGTGTTTTCAGTTTTGTCTGGTTTGCAATATTTATTAGCTCAACTTATTAGGATATTAGTGATAAATAAGGATAATATTTTCTTTTACAGAAAACTGTAAGAATAATATTTAATAGAATTAAACAATCTGAGGATTTCACAGAAACATCAGAATTTAAACACTCATAGCTCTAGTTCTTTTGTCTAGCAGCTCTATTAGTAGTTCAAAACATCTAGGGTTAGATTTTAATAAAAAGTAAAAATAATTACCCATTACAGCAAAGTCTTAGTCCATTTTGGGGTTCCAAACAGCATTCTGATTGACTGCAGTCCCCACCAAAATATAAAAGAAAAGCTAGATGTTTTTTATGAATCATATGACAATAGGAAGTAATCTTGACAGAGTGTTGGATTAGAGTCCCACAAAACCTTAGTCATGTGCATAAGAGCTACTCTTGGAACGAGTCCCACTAAAGTGTATGAGTAAGAATTACTAACAAGTGGAAGTTTGCAGGATCAAATCCTAGGTAATCTAAGTCTTTTCCACTTCCATTTTCTATGATTCACAAACTTCAGATTCAGTCCTGCAGTCCTTATTTCAAACAAAACTCACTGAATCCTTTCCCAGCTAATTCTCTCTTAGAGAATGCCATTCACACCTGCACAGAGGGCCAGCACAAGATAGGACATTCTTAAAAATGCATGTATATTAAATTACAGCAACAGTACATGTATAGCCTCAAATTAGGACTTAAGTGACGTATCACACTTCAACTAACTCTCCACACAGAGGTGAATTTCAAACAGAATGAGTAATACTTCAGTAAAATTAAAGCATAGGACCTAGGAACTCATTTTCAAGGAAGTTCAGATTTGGCAAGTCTACTTTTACTGTGTAAATTTGATCCCTATAACTGCTTTGAAATACTGTGTATATTGGGTATTGTGCATTGAGTGCTCACAGGGCAAAGTGCCTGGCTGTATTTCATGGCACAACTGCAAGCTGAAGAACAATGGATGAGCTCCAGTTCAGTAAATGCAAACTTTTTTTTTTTAGCTACATGGACATTTTGCAAGATATTGATGCTTGTCATACCTACTAAACTTCTCAGAATCAAAGTCTGAGATGAGTCATACAAAAACCCACACAAGTGTTGTAAAGAAAAAAAAAATACAATGCTCAATTTGAAACTAAAGGCTTTTTTGCATTAGGTTAAAATGCATTATTATATACCAACACATTCTTCCAGAACGCATCATTCTGAAAACTTGAAAGCTTTGAAAATACTCTGTCTGCGTTCCCTACTAGCAACAAGGAAAGGTAGTGTCCATCCAGCACTGCTGTCTGTATGAAGTGCATCATTGGAAGTCATAGTGTTCTAGCACAGACATCACGAGTGCAGGTACTGTATACAAGCAGAAACGTAAAACTTCTGCAGTTGTTGTTGGTAGCTTCTAGGAACAGCACATGTGACGTACTAAAACCTAGAGTTGAGGCAGAGGACTCTGACTTGAGCATGAACAAGTCTTTTGAGGGGAAGGATCACAGCTGAGTCAACACAATCCTTCCTGCTTAACAAAGCAACCCTCCTGCCTATTGGTTTTTGACTAATAGAATCCTGCAGATACACCTTAAGTCAGATCCTCCGTGGATTCTGGATTTTTGGTGTGGAGATGTACTTATGAGGACTCTTCGTTTTGCCTCATCATTGTCACTTAGCCCTGTAATGTTCCTTCTTTGATCTGTTGAATAAAGAGGTTCCTTTCATCCTCAGGCGTTCTCCCATTTTGCGCTCGGACTATGCAAGTAGGCCTATGGAGATTGAGCATGTATATCAAATGCTGCTTCTCATTCTTTAGTTCTTCAATCTGGGCTTTTAGTTCTGCGTTGATAGTTTCCAGTTTTTCTGATTCCTAGCCACAGAGCAGAGACATAGCTATTAGACTGAGAGTAGCAGCCCTTTATTGGTAGCAAGGCATGATGGCTATTTTAGACAGAAACTACATGTTTCTAATAGTGCACAACTATAAAGCTATACACATCACCAGTTTGTAATAGTTTAGAGAATAGATTCAAAATGTGGTCTTTGCCCTTGAAAGAAAAATAGTCACAATGTCAACTTCTGCCTGGTGTACATGCAGAATAAATCCATTGCCTTTGGTAGAGTTGCTTTAGATATGTACTGGTTGAAGTGATCAGAATTTGACCTAGCTTATTTGTGCCCTTGTATTAGCTCACTAGAATGTTACATTACCTACCAGGGTGCAAAACATACATCAGGTGCTGTTCCATAAACCCGCATGTCATTTGGAAATGCCACCTGTAACCAGTGTTCCACTAGAACACTGCCACGGTCTGCTACAAAAAATAGGTTAAAAAGGGATTGTCAATGATGCTAGGTTTATAAAATTGACCCACCCTGACCTTTGTCCTATGAGGTAAGTTTTACCAAAAGGATTCCAATCGTGCAATTTTTAAACTTAATGTGACCGCAGCAGAACTGTGGGGTTTTTTTAAAATATAACAAACTACCTGTTTTTTACTTTATCCTATTATGCAAGAGTTCTTCTAATTTAATAACACTGTGGGAGAGGAGTGGGCAAGAGTATATGATTTACATGGGTAACCTGCATATCAAGCTTACTGCACTGGCCCACTGATAGGGCTCAACTCCCAGCTCAAACAATTACCCTTAGGAATAAGGTTTTATTTTTACAAAACCATTATGTCATAGCCATTTTTTAACTCCACATATATAAAAACACAAATTCACCTACCTCACTGAAGTGTAATCTTTGAGGTGAATCTTACAGTAAAAAACAGCTGTCAATCTTGGTTTTAATCTTAGGCCTAAAAGATTTAACCAAGTGTGTCCTCACTAGGAAAAGGTATGTTCTTATCTCAAGGTAGCTAATATCTGAGAGGCAAGGATTTCTTGGGGTGAGTAATTACCCTAAGAAATCCTTGCCTCTCACATAATATCTAGATCATCACAGGTACAGCATCACTTTTACACTACCCTACCATTTGATAAAATCCTACTGATGACACGGTAGTTTATAATTTTCACTTACTTTGGCCCAACATAAAGACTACAAGAAAGGCTAAGGTTTGTCTTGAACCATAAAATACTGAAATGTGTTTAAACTGCAAATTGACTTGTCTTCCCTAAAATTTTCCTGCCTGTTAGTTATTGTACCTTAGCTAACACAATGTAAGAATACACCATTTTTCCTAGGGCAGGAAAGGCTTTAAAATATAGTGTTTGAATCTGACATGATATTGTAGCAGGGTTTAGGAGCCTAGGTTACAGAATAGTATTTACAGGCTTTTTGAGACTCTGGATGCCTACAATAAAGTTAACAGAACTATTTGTCATAGATTTCTTTGACGAAAAGGGATCTTACTGACTGCTACCAAAAAAGTAGGTCATAATGAACTTATTCAGGGCAGCCCAATAGCCTAGAGAAAGTGCAAAATCTGAGACCTTGCCTGGTTTCCTTTTTCCAGACTAACAGAAACTTAAAGTGCTATGGAGGCAGTACAATATTTCTGGCATCTTCCTGGCAAACACTTCTGGACAAAGAGGTAATGTCAGGAAGGGTTTAAGAAGAAGCCCATCCTCTTAGCACTCCTTTGTATGGTTGGTCATATGGGGTCTTTGAGAGACTCCTTAGTGTCTTAAATATCCTAAATATTAAAAGCTATTAATCCCAAACTTGGTAACAGAGAGAGACATGAAAACTGCAAGGGGTACTACATGCCCATTCTTGTCCTTTGTGAAACTGAAGGACTTCACGGCATCACCTGTTTTACAGTGCTGTCATCTTAGAGGACTAATAAACTATAGTAGTAACACCTAGGCTTGCTATCTGTAAACATGATTTAACTGAAAAGATCAAGAGTTTTAATCAAATACCAGATGAGATATCTCTCTAATTTTAACCTACTATATTAGTCATTGTAACTAGGCATCCATTTCACAGAGAGATCAACCTGGGTCATGAAGAAGTTATAACTGATTAAGATTTGTAACAGACATCATGGACATGAAAAGTGATTTTAAATTCTTCCAGCGTTTTGTATACATTTGTAAATTAATATCCACACAAAAGCACTTCTGTTTTTTAGAGCAGCAGCAATTGTTATTGATTCTATAGTGCTTTTTCAGATATTTTCAGTTTTCACTAAGATACATACATAAGTGCATGTGCGTATTAGGGGTGCGCTGACAGATTTGGGGGGCTGATACCAATAGCTGATTTTAAAGGAGGCATATTGGCTGATACCGATTTGATTTCCAACACAGCTGTATGCAGCTGGTAAATCTGTCATGGTGGAAGGGGATGGGAGAGGGAATGGGTGTGTGCAGGGGGGCAGATTAAGGCCTCCATGGTAAGGGAGGAGTGGGGCTGGAGCACATGCTGCCCAGCCGGGGCAGGGTATGAGACGAAGCCGTGGCTTATCCAGGGGGCACAGGGAAGGGAGGGCAGCTCCCACCGCTGCGCACACCCCAGGAAGGCATGTGAGCGCACCCCAGGAGCCCCCACTCCCGGTGTACCTCCTGGACGAGTTGCAGCTCTGGCCCACACGCCACCCACCTAGGCAGTGCCTGCCCCAGCCCCACTCCCTCCCTCACTGAGGGGGTGTTCATCTGCCCCCCATACCCCTTCCCTCCCCCCTCTCCTTCCACCACACTGGACTTACCAGCTGGAGGCAACTCTCCAAGCTGCTGGGCTGTGCTCCTCGCTACCTGCGTGCTGTGCTGTGGCTGTGCGCACACACAGGCATTTATCGGCCGCATCAGACTGATTTCTGATAATCAATTTTCTTTATATCAGTGCCAATCTGATATCGGACTGATGTACCGGTGTACCTCGTGTGTGTGTGTGTGTGTGTGTGTGTATTTATACTGCCATCCATCAAAGAATTTCAAAGGGCTTTGCAGACAGTTGCATTCTTCTACCTTGTTTATTTGCTCAGTAGTAGTGGTGTAGAGAGGAAAAGATACGCTTATTGCAACTACTTGACATGAATAACTAGAACTCCCAGAATCCCCTGGATGAACCCCAGATTGGCTCAAATAGCTGATGTGCAGTTTTGCACTTAAACCTGGAGACTTAGCAGAACAACCAAACAGCAGACAGGGAAAAAAGTCAGGTCAAGAAGTCCCAGTAAAAGGAAAACAACAAGAAACCAACCTTGAGGAATTAAGAGCAACAGGTTTGTGGTGTCTAAGTTGGAGACTGTAATTGTAAATATTGCTAAGAAAGATAGAACTGCTTAGAAAAATAAAATAGGGTAGCAACAGTGCCTAGCAACTGCCTAGCAACGATGACATCACATCAAGTCATAAAAGAAACAGCAAAGTACAATGAAGTTCTCTCTCTGCTGGACTACATCCCAAGAAACATTGGGTGATCAATGCAGACAGGGAACCTGGGAGCCTTATCTCAGCAGGGCCAGCTGATTGAGAATTCTCATGAAACCCACCCAAGATTGTTGCAGCGTGGTGAGATTCACAATGATGTGTGTAGCATTACTGCTTAGCAGTGTGTGTGTGTGTGTGTGTGTGTGTGTGTGTGTGTGTGTGTGTCCAATAAAGCTTTGCTTGATCTTCAATTGGACAGGTGGGCCATGGTGCAATCCGTATAACCTCCCTGGCCCACACCCACCTCTGAGGGGTACTAAATTCTAGTCCAACAGTGGCAGGATGAAAACAGGGTAAGAACAGTCAAAGTCAGTAACTTACTTTCTGCAAACATTCTGTTTTTTCCTTCTTTTTATTTCGGCATTTTGCAGCTGCAATTTTATTCCTTTCCCTTCTCCTCTTTTTCCTTTCATCTTCTTCAGGTGCAAACTAGGAAAATTCAAAAGAGGTGCACATATTTAGAGTGATGCAGCAAACACAGTAGCATCATTTTGATAACTGCTCTAAAACAATAATAGCTCTGTTTTGTAGACTGTTCACTGCAATACGTGCGTTACCAACAGTCAGCCAGCCAGCCTGCGGACATGATTCTCATTTCATTTACAACGGTGCAAGACTGGAGAAACTCCACTAAGTTTGTCAACAAAAAGCATGGTGTAACTGAGATCAGAGTGAGGTACCAGATGGGTTATATCCTGAAAACTAATTTAAGGTATGAAAGTCAACATTTTATCCTAATGACTAATCATTCAGTTATTTTAAAACTGTAGAAACTTTGTCTGAGTAATAAAAATGTGCAGGATCCGACTCTTAATCTGATGGTTTAGTAGCAGCCACTACTTCTTTTGCAACAATCTAGATCTGAGCCTGATCCCATCACCTTTATGGATAGAACAGCTGGTGATGTCAAGCAGCCGTTTTACATGAAGATTGTACTGAGGGGATCTCACAAAGTTTACTGATCTTTGAGGGTTTGTTCTGTTGTCTTTTATTCCAGTGTAAGTTCAAAGTAATGCTGGCCCTCTGGTCCAAATTCTTAGCTTAGTTACTTGGGTGCCATAAACTTCTGTAACTCCAACAGCTTTGGTAGAGGTACTTCTGGTTTATCCCAGTATGCATGAGTTCACAAGGAGGCCATGTGAGCCCAGGTATTGCATAATAAGTTCTCTTAGAAGACAGTGCTATCAAATGGCATAACATTCTTCTTTTAGTTCACAGCTAGGTTTACAAACAATTAATGGTTTACAACCAATTCAGGTTTTCTTCATTGAGATAGCCCTCTCAATGTAAAAATCAAGCAAGACACAGACCAGCTTCTGCTCTAAACAGAACAGAATGCTCGCTTCCACAAATAAGGAATCATTACTTGTGTCCAGCTAAAAATGAACTGGTTAATTACTAGCCATAAATGATGTGAAAAGTATCAGCATCTGAAGAAAACAGGGACTAGAGCACTGAAGATATTGACAGATTTAGGTCTTAGGATCTATTGGTATTGGAGATGCTATCTTTCTCGATTTTCAGTGCATTTTGTAGTGAAGTGATGTTAGAATGTTAATCAAACTGAAATAATTAAAGAAAGGTACCTCTGCTTTCAGAACAGATGTTTCAACCATTCTTTCTGAAATTGTTACTGTGTCCAATGTAGACGACATCCTGTGGTATTGGCGCTTATTTTGAATGGCAAATCTCAATTCTTCTTTCACCAGGGGGGTTAGATTTGTGAAATCTTCAAACCCTAGTGATAACGAAGGGGACAAGCAAGGGACAATTGCAGAGGCGCTGACTTCAGATGCAGATACCTGGCCTGGGTGTTGGAGCATCATTTTGCTGAAAGGTAAAAAATAAATATATAAATTATACTGAATAGCCTTCAATAACCTTTACATGCCAAAACCGTTCACTAGAAGAAAGCTGGATCTTTTAACCTGTCAACCAGTCCCCAATTTATTTTAACAGAGGTCGGAACTACATTCTTCTACTATGTATGTACTTATGGATATATACATATAAACATACACATTAACATAAACATGTGTACTCTTATAGATATATTTATAGAGCTAGTACAGAGTTTCACAATAAGGTACGAGAATTGACATTGTAGTTTATGATGGTTACAAAAGAATGGTGCTTGCCATATTATATGGGCCATTCTGCATTCTGTTATTATTACCCAAGCAGTTCAAGATCAGGTGAATTGGTTTTCATTTCTATGGATGTTTTATTTTCTTTTGGATTTTACCTTTTTTAATGCAAGTCTATTTTTAGGAATTTTCTGAAAACGGATAATTGTAAGATCTGTGCATTCTGAAAAATGTAGGGTGAGAATAGGCAAAGGAAGCTTGGAATTAAAAATGGCAAATTAGGAAGTTTATGTACAGTTTAGAAAGAGAGACAGACACCAAATACATGGGTTCCCCTGTCCAAAGAGCTATACTACTATAGCTGAATTTGAAAAGAATGGACCACAACCTGTTCTCATTTACAGCTATGTAAATCCACAGCAACTCCACTGGAAACTTAAATTTAAAGTGGATTACACTTAGATTAAAAGTGGATACAAAATTGTTATGATCAGGTTAGTGAATGTGCTTAATGATCCAGTTATAAAATCCTGCAAAGCAATTGGCACAAAATGCCAAGAGCTGTATTGTCTTGGGGCTATCTAGCCATAGACACAGAGGGACAGAAATTACATGCAACCCAGTTTAAGTGATTGGAAACTGGTTCACATATGTAACACAACAGAAGTTCAGTGAGCAAAAAGGCCGAAACCAGTTTAAGATAAATGTGGATGAATATAGTACCAGATTTAACTGATTTAGGTTAAATTGGTTTATTGAACTTCTGTCCCAGATGCCCTCAGATTCAAGTTAACTCTCAGTCCCTCAGCATCCCAGGATGTTTTACACCTCTCTTGCAAAGCCCTCCACCTTACAGGGTGGGCAAGCTAGCCTTGACCCAAACTGTCTGCTCCAGCCAAGCAGGGAGGTATTCTCTAGCACCCCGCCCCTGCAGCTTCTGGCCTGAGCCACTGCAGGCATGCGACTGCATTTTGGAAATCAAAAGTGAACATTTGTTCACTTACTTATCAGTTCAATCTATGCAGCTTAGACTAACCTGCAAAGATTGAATCGATTCAACCTCAGGCTTTCTGACTGTCTGTACTTATTCAGGGGGAAGAAAGAATGGGAAACGTGAAGTTACTTATTTTCTTCTTCTCTTACATAATCTGAAAAGGTCTTCACACATGCTTAACAACAAGGAGTTATAAATGGTTAAACATTTTTGGCCAGATGTTCTGCTAGTATAAATCAGTATCACTGCAGGCATTTCAGTGGAACTATGCCAACTGACACCAACGGTGGATCCATACTTTATTTTCTAAGTGAGATAAAATATGGATTATTTTACCCTATTGGTTTTACTACTTTCCTCCCCATGTGTAGGCATCTTGATATCTTATAAGCGTGTGGTTACAGTATTGTGTTACTTGCTCTTGAGAAGCATGGTAATCATAATAACAAAATACACTGGAATTCTCTCTGTGGCAGGTAAGTAGATGTGCACGCGCGCGCACATGTGCGCGCGCGACGGCTCTGTGTAGTCAGCCTAGATTTATGCAATTGCCTTTGGGCAAAATTATATCTTAGCAGTTTTGGGTGGTAGTAAAGATAATGTGCCTTAACAGACAGACAGATCCTACACTTTGTTATACAGAAATTTACTCTGGGTTCACATGAGTGTAATGGAGAGCAGAATCTGATCCAAGTGAAGTATTTTTTAAAGAATGAATAAAAAACCTGAGGTTAGTGAATTATCAGCGTGTTGAATTCACTTGTCCTAGTCATAAAACCCCAGGTTTGAAGAACTTCCAACTACTTCCTGACTTCTGGACTCAACAAAACAGAATAACTTAATAGTTCCCAAATTCTACAGGTGAAGTCCAACCCCCACTGAGGTCAAATGTAGAAGTTGTTACTGATTTCAATGGCTCTATGATTTCAACATCAGTTAATAAAGAAAGGAAGATTCTCTGGAACAAACTGTTGTCCCAAGAGACCTTGGAAAATTTGTGTAATTTTGTTCAGAAAACCCCTGTGCATGAGTCACATTTGAAATACAGAAATCCTTGAATTCTATATCTGAGAACTAGAGGACATTCCTCTCCAACAAGTTAGAAATATCCCCATGCTTTCAGCCAAAAGAACCCAGTGTTATTTACCATTTTGCAATTTGCCAACATATTTATGTAGGTTCTTTCATTTTCCAGTGGGACTGAACCTATCCTTGTCAGTGGATAGAAGCAGTCTTCACTATGTACTTTAGTGCCACTTTTGTTTTCACTCATGGTGATGGCTTAATTCTACATGGATAATTCTAATTCATTCAGATCAGGCATCTGAGTTAACAATAATGCCATCTCTCTGCCTACCAAGTAATTATATGCACTGATGAATTTTCAGCATGTGTGGTTTGCCTATTTTTATGCGGGTGAACTTTTCATTAAAAAAGGCTTCAGCACCCAGAGAAAATCAAGAATATTCACAGCCTTAATGGAAAAAGTCATGAAAACTTTGTTCATACAATATTTTCATTAGTAACTGGTTGGACCATTTTTATCAAATGTACTACCACCATCAGAAAAGCCTGCTGAAAAATGTTTCCCCATCCCTAATTGCTCAGTGTCTAGATTTAAGAGAGTGATGGGAGAGTGTTAGCTGGGATTCCCTAACTATAAAAGCTGCTTTTCCCCTAGTGTGAAACAGTCTGCTGACCTTCCAGACATGCTGAAAGGCATCTCTGTTTACTCAGGCTGTAGGAGAGGGAGGAGCCTGAAGGGACTGAAGTTGTGCAGAATTCTGAGTTGAGTTTTGTTGGGTGGGACTAGTTTCAGCTATTTTTCTGTATCCCCCTTTGTAAGCTCTTTTGTGGCATGGATCATTTTTTTACTCTGTATTTCTATACTGCCTAGCACAATGGGGTCTTAGTCCATGACTGGGACTCCTAGATGCTAACAAAATATAAATAAGATTAAATTAAAAACAATATGAACAGTATTTAAATTTCTACCTATGTGCCTTGTGATGGTAATAATGCAGATGCTTTCCTCTACTGATAAATGTTTCTGTTTCTAGGGGCATTAAAATAATAAGAGTAAAATTTAAAAATAAAACACGCTCCCCCTGCCTTATTTGGCTTTCTCATTCCAATTTCTAGTCCATGTTATTTTAGACATCAAGTCATTTGGGGCAGGGACCTGGCTTAGTCTATGTTTTTAAAACACCTAATACTATTTAGGGTCCACTGAGGGCAAAAATAATTAACCCAAGATTATAAACACATTCCAAACTTCCCGAGACTACTGAAGTTACCAGGAGCAGAAAGTGCTGCGCAGCATTGGGGCACATGAACCCAGTTCATGCCTGGTATAAGTGGATCCTGTTCTTCATCTGATGATGTAGCACAGGGGTCCTGCAAGCCAGCTGGGTTGGATCTGCCCTGCACACCAGGATCGGGCCCCGTGCAGCCCCCCTGCCCACTGGGATCAGGTTCTGGGGTCCTGTGCCAACCTCATGTGCCAGGATCAGGCCCTGCACTGCTCTGTCTGGAAGAAGGATCATGACCAACAGGACTCCCCACCATGGGCCGGCTGACGCAGCCCCAGGGGGTGGGGACGGATCTGGCAGCAAACTGGAGCTGGAGCACCCCTGCTGTAGCAAGAAAAGTCCTATTTCCTGATAACGGTCCATTCCACAATCCCTTCCTGTAGCTGCGCAGCCAGATGAAGCTAGTCACTGAAGTTTAATTTGTGAAAAAGCCGCTGCTCCCTCCGCCACCCCCACTACTACTTCACTTTGTCAAATGAATGACTCCTTACCCTGGCCGCGACCCGGGCTATCCCACAGGAGGACGGCCCCGCTTCACGGCCGGACACATCCCGCCCACCCCAGGCACTGCTGCGCGCGGGACGGGATTAGATGCGCGCTTGAAGTTGAAGGCGGACACCGCGAAGGCTTCAGGACACCTCCCTTCGGCTGCACAGCTCACCAAGGCTCCCAGGAGTGGAGTGGGGGGCACTCCGGGGCGGCAAGCCCTTGCCCCCCCCGGCGGGGACCTTCAGCGGCCTCAGCGCCTCCCACCCACCTTGTCACAGCCCGGCTCCGTCCTGCCTCACTCGCGGGACGCCCCGCGGCCCCGAACCCCCCCGCACCGCCCATTGTGTC